TAAGAACATAATAGAAATTTGAGGACAACTGACTATTAAATTCAGATTATTGACTATCCATTTAATATTCCAAGGAGATTGCAGAAGTTAGAAATAGTCTTTCTGCTGTGGTGGTGATCCATGATCATTTTTAGCTCATTCTTTTGTGAAATTCTCATCCATATTTACTAGTATCAACTGAAAACCCTTCCAGTAACCAAAATTTGTATTATATCTTTAAATTACATTGGTTACTTAGTTGAGTGGATATGTAAGAGAAAACTTTACCAAAATGTTAAAAAAAAAAAAAAAAGAATGTGAAATTGGAATGGCGAGAAACTTTGGATATGGTGATCAAGAAGATGCCTACTTACAAGGCTTATTTGACTGTCATAGTCCCCTCTTTGTTAATTATTATTTTTCCCCTTATTTGCTTTAATAAGAGTGTGTTTATAGCTATCTTTTAATAAAATGTGCTTTTATGCTGTGATTGATAAATTTATTATTAGTATTTTTCTACTTTTATTATCAAAAAATTCACCACATAAATAATGCAAAAAATAGATAGTTTTAATACAAGTTTTAAAAAGTTATTAAATTCAGCATCCATATGTGTTATTAAAAAAAAGAAACTTTTAGCAAACTAGGCAAAACATAAAACTTGTTCAATTTAATGAAAGGAATCTATGAAAAATGCACAGCTAATATCATACTGAATAGTAAAACACAGAATGGTTTGTTTCTAGAGTTGGAAATAAGGCAAGCATATCAACCAGTATCAATTACATTTAATATTTTACTAGAGGTCCCAAAAATGTCAATGTATCAAAAATAAATAAATAAATAAATAAATAAATAAGAAGACATTAAGATTGGAATGAAAGAAATAAACTTTCCTATTCATAAGTGACAAGACAACTTACATAAAAATTAAAGAATATAGAACAAATTATTTAGCTTATCAATTAATCAGGTAAAAGAATCAATACTTTTCCATATACTGTTAACAAACAATTAGAAACTAAAATTTTTAGTTAAAATGTTGTGAAAATTCCCACTGCCACTTAAAATGACATCAAAAGCATGACGTACTTAGCAATAAGCACTTAAAATTGTAAAACATGACAGAAATTAAAAAGACATAAAAAAGTTTTAAATTATAACATGTTCATGGTTTGGAAGACTGAAATATGTTATGATGTCAGTTCTTCCTAAAAAGATCAATAGCTTTAAAACGGCTTCAATAAATACCAAGAAATTAAAGCTTATTCTAAAATAATTATAGGAATACCCTAAATTGTTTGGAAGAAGAGTAACAAAACAGAGGAACTTATAATAAAGGACTTCAGACTTTAAAATGTATAGTAATCAAGGCCATGTGATAGTTGAAAAATGATGGACAAATAGATAAGCAGAGAAAGAACAGAATAGACTTATTTTATGTCCTCAGTTAAATTTTATAAAGTGACCAATAAAGTAATTCAGTGAAGATAGGAGAGTTGTTTCTACCAATGATACTGGTGCAACTAAATATACATATATTTAAAAAAAAAGAACCTTGCTTCGAACTTCACAACAAAATCAAATATTAATTACATTTCTAAAGTATACCTACATATTTTTTTAAAAAGCAACTCAATTTCTAACATGTATGAAGTCAAAGAAAGGAAAGTATCTTTGCAACCCAGTGGAAAGTAATGGTTTCTTAGAACACAAAAAACAATAACAATTAAAAAAGTAGCCTCTTACGTGCTATTAAATTTTATAATTTATTCTTAAGAACGTGAATTTAGAGGGCAAAGACTAAGAGAAAATATTCACAATCCCTTACAATTTCTTTTACAATTTCTGTAAAAGAATTTGTGTTAAAAGCATATGACAGTGCTTAAAATAGCAAATAAGAAAACAAGCAATGGAAAAAGAAGAGCCTACACTGTTGCTTAGCAGAGGAAAATATACAAATGACATTAAACTTCTCAAAATCTTTAGACATCAGGAAATGTACATTAAAATTAAAAATGACATATTATTACACATCTATTAGAATGGCCAAAAAAAAATGGCATGATGATACCAAATTTCAACAAGGATGTGGAACAAATTCTTCTAATTACCTCCAACAACTGAATTCCTAGCAGTTTACTCAAGACGAGTGAAAGTATATAGGTCCACACAAAGACTTGTACAAGAATGTTGGTAGCAGCTTTATTCACAACTGCTCCAAATGGAAACAACATAAATACTGTGATCAAGAGTAAACAAATCAGTTTCGAAATATTTACCCAACGAAATTCTACTCAGCAATAAAAATGGATTGACTACTTATATGTGTGACAACGTAGATGAATCTATGTCATTATACTGAACTGTCAACTGCCACTAGTTACTGGAGAGTACTAAGTATATGATTTCACTTATATAAAGATCTAGAGAAAATGGTTACAAGAGACACCTGGCTGGCTCAGTCAGCAAAGTACGTGACTCTTGATCTCAGAGTTGTGAGAGATTACTTAATATTAAAACCTTTAACAGCAACAAAAAAATGGGTACTGAAAATATCTATTCAGTGGTTGCCTGGGAATTGAAAGGGGTCACGGACAGACTGGAAAGGGACACAAAAGAATTTTTTGAGGTGACAGAAAAATTTTATATTTGTATTGGGGTATAGGATATATATTTTTATAGGGGTGTAGGAAAAGTATATACATTTTCCAAGACTGTACAGATAAGATTTTACATTTAAACAGAATTCAAATTTTCTTAAAAAAATCAAATCCAGGTCTGGAGAGAACAGAATGTTTACAGTTGTTGACATTGGATCCTGAGAGCATTACACATCTCTGCTTAGTTTGTAGATGTTTGAAATGCTCCATAATGAAATGGTATAATATATAAATCTAGTCAAAATAAGTGTCATCTTTAATATTTTTTTATAAAATACAGTATCATTTGCTTTAATAAAATATTCACTTTGGGAGCTTATTTTAAACACAAGATTATTTATCTCAATCAATACAGAGCTAAAAATCCTAAAATCTAAAATGTTTTACAATCCTACTCAAGAAGCATAAAATAAAATTAAGAATCTATGTTGTTTTAGTATTCTCTAATAATTTTTGTTATGAATAGCACCTAGCTTTTATACCTGATATTTTCCTTTTTATTCACACTCATCAGCTTTTAAGTCAAATGCTAACCATGGTATATTCTTTATGATTATTTGCAACAAGCTCACTGATGATCATCGTCCCCAAGGCTTTACAGCTACGAAAACAGAGCAACCATTTCAAAGAGGTCACTCTACTGACACCACTTTGATTTCCATAGTTCTGGACTCTGGTCACTCACTCAGGCTAACATCTGCTATGAAAGCATACCTTACTGTGCCTGGGTGCTCCTTCTCTGAGGGGTAGCTGAGAAAAAGGGCACTTACATCCTTGATATTTCTGTAAGTGTATTACCTGATGTAACTTCCCAAAACGCTCTTCAGTGTCCACTATGCTGAGCTGCCCTGCCTGTCTCAGCCTTTTCACGGAAGACCTCCCACCATATAAAAATGCAACCTGGGCTACCTTCCCAAGGCAACGTTCTGCTTCCTCCTGCAATATCAGGCTGGACTTTCTGCCCAGGATCCCTCAAAAGGATGAATTTATGCAGAGGATGTAGCTCCTCTGAGAAGGCCATCCTTGGTCAGTCCCTGCAGGGACCAGATGTCTGGGAGATTGAGTCAAGTTTTATGAAGCATCTTGGTTCAAACCTGCTTCCAGGGAACTGGGATTTCTTTTAATATTTGTCTCTTGGGCATGTTAATTTTTTTTTATGTAGCTTATTTCCCCTTCCATCTTTTCTATCTATTAATTTTCTCTAATTACTTTAATCATAGTCTCTTCATATTTGAAGCATATATATACATATTATAAGATATATATATATACTATCATCTTTTATCCACATTTCTGAATTAATAGTAATGCTCAAAGCATTATATCATTCCATTTTAAGCTGTAATATAACATGTTGCCACCTAAAAAACATTTGTTTTCTTAAACTTTGATTACCTGTTTCACGGTCTGTTTCTATATTAAATTATGCCGGAGAGGTTAAGGAAACTTCCCTGGAACTAAACTCATTTTAAAATCCTATTTCATAATAGTTACATGACTATGTGTAAATTACCTAACTTCTGAATCTCCACCTACTCATTATAAAATGTGGATTACCTAAAGAGCCAATTGTAGTTTCTAGAACATTATAAGGGGTCAAGAAATATTAGATGTCACTATTGGTAGCCATAATGCCTCTTGTTTCATAGCATTTATACGATTCTTACATCACAGGGAATTGTGGAGTGCCTCTTCCCATCAGTGTCCTATATAAGGAGTCAGTTTTTCCTACTAATAGCACTTTGTACCCATTTACATGTAAAATTTATGTACTTTTGTTCATAGTTTTTCTTTAATATGCTCATGTTGTGTGTTTAGGTTACTCATCTGAGAAATGAGAGTGTTTCTGTTCAACTTTGAAAATGCTACTTACTCTAATATAATGTTAATGTTAATATGCAATATTATTATTGGTTCAGTTCCCTCAGCTTTAGAAAGGGAAAAAACTAGAAACTACTTATTGTAGTTGTAAGAATTTAAAGAATTAATACTTACAAAGTCATGAAAACAGTGCCTGGCTCATAATATATGTCTATTTTTTTGGTATTATTATTATGCTAATCAATTTTTGTCAACTTCATGGAATTTTTTCATGTAAATGCTATTTTATTTATCACATAATTGCTGTCATTTGTCATATGTGGTTGGAACTATGCTTATATTAAATATTTATTATTGTTACTTTTGGCTGACATTTTCTAAGATGAATAAAAGACTTCATAAATCTGCACATAGGATACCACGTTCCCTAGACATTGTAATGTGACAATTTTTAGAGTAGAGAATAAGCTTCATTTTCTCGTACTCAAACTTCCTTAATATCTGAAGACCAAATTTCATAATTTATACCTGAAAGTTCTAGTTCTGCTTAGTTCTTATCTGCTTAGTTCTGACCCCATAAATTACAGGGTTGAGAGCAGGTGGGATGACAACATAAAAGTTGACAAGAATGTAGATGTATTGAAGAACATTTTGGCCAAACCGGTGGGTCATGAAGGAAAAAAACGCTGGAGTGTAAAAGGCCAACATTACACACACGTGAGAGCCACAAGTGCTGAGTGCCTTCATTCGGGCATCCCTGGAAGGGAGGCAGAAGACAGCATGGAGGATATAGACATAGGAGATGATAATGGCTATGATGTCAAACACCAAAATAGAGATGGCACATAAGCCATATATGATGTTCACCTTTATGCTGGTACAAGACAGGTGGGTAATGCCCATATGCTCACAGTATGTGTGGAGATGATTTGATGCCCACAGAAAGGTAACCTTAAGATGAGCAGAACGAAGGGGATTGCAATGGCTAAGGGTCTCAGGAGGATGATCAGTGCTATAACAGATACCACCTTGTTTGTCAACACCAGTGTGTACTGAAGAGGGTTACAGATGGCCACATAGCGATCATAGGCCATGGCCACGGGCACAGCCGACTCCATGCCAGTAGATAAGTGGATGAACAACATCTGAATGAGACAGCCCTCAAAAGTGATTTCTCTCAGGTTGAACCAGAAGATTCCAAGCATCTTGGGGATGGTGGATGTGGACAGGCCCATGTCAATAGATGACAGAATGGCCAGGAAGTAGAACATAGGATGATGGAGACTACGACCAGTCTGAATCACAAAAAGAATTGTAATGTTTCCCAATAATGCTGTCAAATATACAACACAAAATGGAAAAGCAATCCACATATGCATGTCTTCTAGCCCTGGAATTCCCAGCAGGAGAAAGAATTTGGGATGGAATTGTGTGTCATTGGATGGGACCATGTTTCCGTTGCACTTGTACTGCTGCATGTAACATAGACCAGATGTTTCATTCACTGAGAGGTGCCAGCTCTTCTTGTCCAATGTTACTGATTTCCTAAAGAATGATACAAAAATATGTTTGAACTTTTCTAAACACCCCATCCATCATTACGTAACTGTGGATTTTTTTTTGAAAACTGAAGTACATATTCTTATTGTTTGATCTCAACTGATCTATCAGATTCATTACATTTGTTCTCATCCATTTTAATAACATAATTAAGCTTTCATCAAGGACCAATAGAATATCATACAAATGGCTAGGTATTTGGTGTTCAGATCATACATAGTTAACCGTCTTTAAGGAAGTTCTAGCTTAGGAATTAAAATAATAATACAATGTATGGTTTCTCTGGGATTCTGACAAGTACGTTTTCCTTTCTATCTTATAGTCAATTGCTATAGCCTCTTGAGGTAAAATTTGCACAAAACCCTTTTAAATGTGTGAAACCTAATAGAAAAAACCACTAGGTGAACTCCTGGACCTCAAATCAGAAACATCATTGCAGTTAGGGAAGACTGTATTAAATGCAGGAAATCAAGACTCATGGTGGTTAAAATTGATGCAGTTGAGATGGCTTCACCATTAGATTTTACAATTGATTGTTTAAAACAGCAGAAGAGATAAGAATGACACTGCAAGAGCAATTTCATTCAAAACAGCACTAGCAATCAAAGATTGACTTGAATTATATGTAAAGAACTTAAATTTGAAAATTTTATGTAATGTGAACTTTTCCTTATAAAGCTGTGGTGGGAGATATTTTTAATACTTCTGTAGAAAGATCCAAAACAGTAGTAACAAAATAGTGCCAGGTTGCATTAAAATAAAGTAAATCTAATATCTGTGGATCATTAGCATTGTTCCTATTTCACATCATATGATAAAAAGGTCTGACTTTAAATTTTTGATTGACCTAAGTGGCTGTTCATGGCCACTCATCTTCTGCTATTTTCCCCACAGTTACATCCTCAATCTGTTTGCATATATGAATGTCCTACCTTTCAGTTATTGAACTCCAAGTCACAGTTGGACCACACCTCACATTTTTCCCACCCTCTTAAGGATTTTTCTTGTCACCTTTGTTCCAATGTCACATCAAGTTCTATAGCCCCTAGTTCAGTCTTTTTCTTTACAATTATTTATTTCCTGACAGCTTCACTTCTTCAACTCTCCAAACCAGATCCTTCGCATCTCTCTGCATTTTTCTTTCCTTGACTCTGCTGTCTCTTCGTTCGGCTGTCAATCCATCTGCCCCAGATTCAGCCCTGACCTCTGCAACCACTTCCCATCCAAGAGCTCCGGTTGCTGAGAGTTATTGGAGAAAAGCTACAGAATTATGCCAGTTGCAGTATCTGCAGACAGGTCATCCAGGACATGAAAATCCTTCCCATGTCCTTTAGATGGTTTCCTTTTACAGTTGTCTCAGAGAATATGCCGTACATGCACTTGTCTCACACCACAAGGTGTGAGATACATTTATTCTTTAACTTGCAGCACTTTCTCTTGTCTCTCTAGAAAATTAAGATGACCATGCAAGTGATATTTGCATCTTCTCACTCTTCCCTTCCCCAGTTGTAAGTGTTTTACTCCAGCCTGCTGCTAATAGAAACACCTCTGCTTTGATCTCATCTTTCAAGTCTGCATATACCACTCTTTATCCTTTTTGCTTTTTCCCATCTCTGTCTCTCTTATGTTTGCACCTTCTCCACCTGTTCAGTGTTTCCCCCCAAATTTTTGACCCATGTTTAATCTAATTTGAAAAAAATAGCAAGAATTTTGAAATAGTATATGTTATTTCTATTTACTCCTATTCACTTCTCAATGGGCTATAAAGAATGTAAACTGACTTCTACTTAAAAATGGAGTTTCTTTCATAAATAGTACCAAATTGTGTCCCTATTTCCAAAAGTTCTTGAATATAATTTGAACTTATGCTATTTATATCCTACAGGAAATACACTATTAGTGGTCATTTTTCTTCCCAACATCCCACCAGTCTTTTAGTGATTTAACAGACTTGTATCATTTCAGCAATTTTTGAGTATATGAAATTACTTTTTTAATAAACATCAAATCAATCTCAGTTTTTTTGTTTACTTTCCTAACATTTATTTGGGTCACCATTCTTTCTTTCTGGTTTACATTTTCAGATATTGCTGTTGCCATCTCCTCTCTTTGCTCTATGTTAAAGGAGCCCTAAAGAATGTTGTAAAATAAATCCCATAGAACACCATGTGTTTATGAGAAGTCAATGTGTCTCGTGTTCCTGTTTTGCTACAAAATATTTTTTCTGATAGCCACATGGAACTGGAAATTTCTGTAGTTCTTTTTTTTTTCCCTCTTAGGTATTTACAATGTATATCAGAACTATGAGATTCTCTCCTAAAGCAACTTTATTTAACTGGTGATTTCACAAATGTGTTTGACCAGCAAAATTCCTAAATGGAATATCTATAAAACCCATGAATGATAATATTTCAGGCTCTTAAGTTACAAAAGTGAACCTATGGTATGTCAAATTTTAAAAATGTTTCTGTGCTGTCTTCAACTGAGCATCAATTGTTTTGCCTCTGTTCTAGATGAATATATATCAGATAGATAATTTTCTAGGAAATAAAAGGAGAAAAAGGACACTCTAGACCTTGTTTTCAACACAGTGTCTAATGAATTTTTATAATATATTAACTTTTCTAGATCTTCACCAGCATGTGTTAAAACATATTAGGAGACCAGCATAAATTAAGAAATTTTAATCATATAATTGCAAAATTATTTAAGTTTTTGTTCTTGGCATCTATTGTTGTCATATTTGTGTTACCTTTCAATTAGGAAAACATTTAAAGCCATTTATAGAAATGAAATTTAGACAGACTTGCTTAATCATCTTCGTATGGATCTAGAAATGTTTGGAAAACTTTGGAATTTGTTTTGTAAATGATGAGTCAATGCTAAAATAAAAAACCCTTTTTTTGGTAATAGCTTTGGAAATACAAGGATTCTTGATCTGGTATTTTTATCTGTAAGTTATACGAAGGCATGAATTGTGAAATATTTATCTTGAGAGCTGAATGGAGGACAGAGGGGTATACAAAGTTAGTTAAAGTTCTGCATAATAGATATAGAATGGTGACTGCTATGAGAGGGCAAGACAGACAAGACTGAAGGTTAAGGTACAACCACAGGAAGCGAAGAAAAAAGTGAGTTGAATGACAAAGACTTCAAGAAAGGCACAGAAAGCAAGTTAGAAAGGTGTTTGCATAAGCACACACACATGCACACTTCACTTATCCAGATAAGAATAAGATTAAGAATGAAATTTATAAACCCTTTGTCATAGTATACACCTGACTGTGTAAATTATCTTGTTACACTCTGGGCTCCTTCCATATTCAGTCAGCTTTCCTTTTTTTCTCCATTCCTCTTGTCTATTTTATCTCTTCAACCTACATCTCAGTGAAATGACCACAATGAAATGGTTTCCGTCTCTTTGTTTCTTTGTTTGAAAATAAAAAAGAGTTACTGTCTTAGTGGATCCTTCTTGAACCCAAGGCCAGACTTACCAGTATAGCTTCTGGGCTTTTTGGATAAGCTAGTTCACCCACTTGCCCCAGAATGTTTCCATTTTCATCTGCTCTGACTGAAATGGAAGACTTACACTGTAACCATTGACCTTAAAATGGAGAGTCTCCAAACACTGGTGTTCTCTGGAGAAAACAAAATTGTCCAGAGGCACTGAGCTACATGCTCCATAAATATGAAGCATAACATCATTGGTTATTAAAAAAAAGAAAGAAGGAGAAGGAGAAGGAGAAAGAGGAGAAGAAGGAGAGAAGAAAAGAAAAAGTCCGGATTCTGAATGCTGTTTCCCAAGCTTAAAATGACTTGTGATAAACTGACTTATCTCTAGGCAGGAGCAGCTATGAGGAGGGCTTACCTCCCATTCTTTCTCTTCAAGATCCCTTTAGTTCTACATTCCCTCTCATGAGCCCCACATAAAAGGCCAGGTCACCCGAAAATCTGGGGTGATTTTATGTAAGGGATTGGCAAGTCATTCTGTTTTTTGTTTTTTTGTTTTTTTCCCATTACCAAATTATTTATCTTGCTGGGTATCTGGTCAATTTCTCCAAAATTTACCTACCTCTCCCTCTCACCCCCATGATAAACACAATTCAATCTTCAATACTATCAGGAAAAAATTGAAGCCCACCTAGTATCTATCATTTCATGGAGTATTCATTAGAACTAGGATGTGAGAGATATTGGGTCCGCAGCTCCAAGAATGCAGGAGGAACAATAAAAATGGCCAACGGGCCATCAACTTCCAGGCCGCCCCTTTTCCTTTACCCATGACTCTCCCACGGGAAGGACATATGCTGAGGACATGTCACCATAAGTAACCCGATATCTATGCAGGAAACAGGAACATCAGGACTCCCCCTACCCTCTAGTCACCAAATACCTTACTTTATATGGCTATGAACCTATGCCCTGTCTTACCAAATAAAAGACCCTCTTGACTCCCTCCTGGGCGTGACTTCCCCAGACTCTCCTCTCCTGAGTCATGGAACCTCGCTCAAGGGTGCCTTTAATAAACTTTGCCTTGCACCTCTTTCGCCTGGAAAACCTTGCAAGAGGTAATATAATTAAAAAAAAAAAAAAAAAAAGACTAGTTATTTTGAACACAAATCCTCTCTGCTTCCTGGTTCTTCTTCTTCTTCTTCTTCTTTTTTTTAAAGATGTTATTTATTTACTTGACAGAGAGAGAGAGAGGACAAGTAGGCAGAGTGGCCAGCAGAGGGAGAGAGAGAAGCTGGCTCTCCACTGAGCAGGAAGCCCCATGCAGTCTCAATCCCAGGACCCAGGGATCATGACCTGAGCCAAAGGGAGCTGCCTAACTGACTGAGCCACCCAGGTACCCCCACTTCCTGGTTCATGTTGATAGTAAAATGAGACAGGG